ATGAAGCAGTAGAAGGATTGTTGACATGGCAAGGGTATATAAAGTGAAGAGAATCAAATTTCAGGAGTTGAGAATCACCGAACTCGAAATACCCGAGATACTGTTCAATAAAACTTTTTCATTTTCAAATAATGAAGCTTCAGTGCACCAATGTTACACTGAGAAAGTAAATTCTTGAAAACCTCCACCAATTGGTGCATGCGCGAGAGACGGGAGTGGGCATCGCTTTACAGTCTAGATATATGGGATTGTAGTACTGGCCATATTTACCGTAATCCTTGAATGCGCACTCTAAATGGAAAGTCACATTTTGTATGATAACTGTTCACTGTTGAGCAAATAAATAAAACTGAACCTTACGTAATACTAATAATGTGCATTTGCTTCCGCTGCTAAGTCTTATGGATGGATTATAATGTAATATTTGTGATTGATTAGTAGATAAGTTACTCAATAAGTACACTTGGTTTTTAACGCTAAGAATCGCCGCTTTTCCGCCGCACTGGTGACTTTTTCTTCCGTTGTAAAGTTGACTCCAGAGTTCTCGCCAGGAACTGTTTATTGGTATTCAAACAGGGAGCTTTCTTCCTACAGTTATTACTCATTTGTTACAGGTCTTGAATAGGGCACTGAGTTAATAAACCGAAATGAATTTTAAATCATGCAGCACGCCACCAAGACTTCAAAGACACATTCTATCTAGAGCCTTTACTATAAAAGACTCATGTCACATAGAATGAACGCTTTCAGATTTAAGTGTCAAAATGATCAGTCTTTGTTTAAAATAGCTCTCACGGCTAACTCTTTCAAAAATTCCCAACGACTCTTCCGCTGAGAAGAGTTGAAAGTGTAGAAGAGAAGAAGTACTGGAAAAACTAGTCTTACCAGCCTTGCGGTCCAATTTTTTCGGATCTAGCTGCACCTCTTTTTGCCTCATTGAGTAAAGCTTGACGCGCCTCATCCCTGATATCACTGTTGTCCTCATCACTTCGTCTGGCCCTTTTGCAGTCCACTACGTCCTCTCCAACTCTTGAAACCATCAAGTTTCCTTTCGGAAAGCTGCTTATTATCGACCGAATAGCTTTCCGCCTTCTCTGGCTCTGAGAATCAGTGTCTGGCTCAGCACTTTCAGAATTGCTTGATGAAGGCGAACAATCCATAAAAAACTCCTTACAAAATTTCTGATGCGTACCTAAACTTTTCAGTAACAGGTCGTTACGCAGGCTTTTACCACCATAATGACGGAGAAAAACAAGAGATTTGTGCACAATATGATTTGATATTATACCTCTGAATAATTTTTAAAGTATTTCAGAAACGGCTTGATGAAACTTCCTAATGAAAGCTAAAGAATGCATGGAAGTTGTTGCAAAAAACTTTATTTGTCCTTTTAAAGATGACATAGAACGACAGTCACTTAGAGAAGAAAAACAGCTTTTAAATATTACAAACAGTGCTAAATTCATCATATTGATCAATTCCTGTCACTTGTACAAGGAGAGATAATAGGAAGCTACTTGCGATTTCCAGCACAAGCTTCTAAAGCTTCTTGCAAGCAATGAACAGTTCGTTCTATGCACTCAACGCTCGAATTTCTTCCGTATGTCCCAATGCGCCAAACCTTGCCTGCAGTTCCTCCTAATCCTCCACCGATCTCGATGCCCTTGTTCATCATAAAGGAAACAACATCTGCAGCTACATAACGTTCTGGAACAGTAACCGTCGTCAGACACGGAAGACGCCATTCCTAAACTAACAAACATGATTTAACTTACCCTAAGCTCCTAGTGCTTTTTGTTACGCCTATATCATCTCAAATAAACTTTTTAGAACATCGCCCTACTGCTTATTTCAGCTCTGAAAGCAAAAAGAGGATGGGACGGTAACGAGCCACGGAAATAGGACCTTTCTATTGACATAAAGTTCTAAACCGAGCTGTTCCAGACAACTATAAAGGATATGCACGTTTTTGTAATGCCTATCGACGCTAGTGGAGATACCTTCCAATGCAAGTTGGGCTAAAGCTGTCCTCAAAGAGTAGTTTAAAGAAATAAGACCAGTATGATGATATCTAAAATATAAAGAATTTACATTGCGCAAAAGTCGCCAGAAGCAATTTCTGCCTGAAGAAATAATCTCAAAAACAAACAAAAAGAGAAATAGTAAAATAATGTGTAGAATAAAACAGGCCTTCTCGGTTGCCCATCACAACCCCAGTAGTTTCCCAACTCCAGCGCGTCGAAGTAAAACGAAGGAACTTTTGTTTTTCTTCTTTGCAACTTTGCCCTATGGTGACATATTGATATAGGATAAATTATGTAACATGAACTACATGTCACATTTATAAATAACAAAAACATACTGAGCTCTTGGACTAAACGATATAGGAGCCAGACCCGGTGGAGCGTTCAGTACCTTTTGAGATGCTGAATACACGCAGTCAACCTATAAAAAACGTTATTCTGAAAAATGAAATCAGGAAGGATCAAAACATACTTGAAAATAATCAGCAGCAAATGGCGTTGCGCCTAAAGAAGCTACAGTATCCACTAAGAATAAAGAATTTCTTTGACGACATATATTTCCTAGGCCTTCTAGTGGCTGACAAACACCAGTTGAACTTTCACCATGGCAGACAAAAACTACATCTGGATGATAGTCCTCTACAGCCTAAATAGAAAAACTCAATGAGTTGTTCCACAACATTGAATTTAAAAAGTTTCGCACTCGTTCAAGTGGAACAAAAAAACTAAAACTAAACACCTTTTCGAATGCATCCAATGTGATTGCCTGACCAAGTGGAACTGATACTTTCTTCACTTGAAAGTTAAGCCTTTTACCAAGGTCTGCAGCACGCGCTCCCCAAATACCATTCTCAACCACAAGTAACTTTTCACCTGGTTCCAAAAGATTCAAAAGTGCACATTCCATTCCAGCATGCCCTAAACCAACGCTTGTAGCAGTACTGCTAAAAATCGTCAAGAAATAGATTATCTGTGAAGTGCAAAAAGCTATATCATTCGGCAACAAGTGTAAAGAAAATACCTGATCCGCTTACAGCAAACGTTAGTGGGTTTTCAGTTTGAAAAGCATACTTGATTCCATCCTTTACATCATCCATTACCTAAAAATGTTAGTGAAAAGTCAGGTCCTGCTAGTATTACAGGTATTAAACCGCTGTGCTCCCTCAATGGTCTCAGAACTTCTAAAGCAATCTGATAAGTTCCCGATATTTCAAGTTCAGTTTTACAGTGTAAAGAGCCAATTCCAAGCACTTGAAGTTTAATATATCCCCCTCACTTGAAAGAACTGTTTCAAACACAAGATTAGTGAAAAAAATAAGGTCCGTTTCACAGCTTATAAGATGTGACAAAATATTAAAGTGATTTCTATTATAAAACTAACATAATACATGCAATGAACTCGAATAACAACAATATAAACATCATAACTTGAGAGGAGACATGAGAAGATTCTATTACTTCACCCTGTCACTACAGTATCATTAAATGCCCAGTTGTCTAGAAATAAGAATTCAACACTATTGTATTAATAACAGTTACCAAAATACCTCCAAAAACTCTCTGTGTAGATGACCAAGCAAAGGTTGCGACAAAGACTGGTTAATTTCTGACGTCATATTACTTGGGCCAGGACCCATAAGCAACTTATTAGGTATCGTTGCTGCCTGCAGTAGTTTACGAGGACATTTTATGCTCCAAATTGCTAATGAAGAAGCCTTCATCTAAAAAACAAGAGAGGTCTGTAAAGTAAGTCGTATTTATCATAAAAGAATAAGAAATACCAGAAAGCATTAATCACTTTTCCAAAACTTTGCTACTTTTCAAAAAACGAATTAGATCAAATACACATATTGATTTGGCTGTTAATATAACTAAGAGCACATAATGATGCTATATTTGCTATTTGCGATCGGAAAAAATGCAACAAAAATTTGGCAATACTTGACACGTTTAAATCACTTTACATTGTTTTAGTCATTAGCCCTCTTTAAAACCGCACTTACAATCCCCCCAAAACAGTCTTCACTGAAAAAAAAAGAATAATTATTTTTAAAGATCATCTTTATCACAGCAGCAGTCAAAAAACAAATACGCTCTAACTTCAGAAGCTACTCGGTTTAACAAACATTCGGTCTTCTCTCGATATCATTAGAAACCACAATTTTTTACTTAAATATTTAAAAAGTTGTGCCAAAAATAACGAATTTTTGTCCATCGGCATCAAAACATGAAATACTTTAAGCAGTTGCACTATTGACAGATCAACTAACTACGATTTTGTTCACTAACACTCCTCACGTATGCCAACAGCGACGATTGGTAAATAAATACTCTACAACAAAATGAACCGGCAAGAATGATTAAATGTTGTCTAAAAGGTCAGAGCAGCTACAAAAAGCACTAAAGAACAACTGTTCAATATTACCGGTAAAAATTTAGAAGAAAATAAAACGAGAGCTGTAAACTATTAAGGCCACGAAAGTTACCTTTCCGTAAACGAACAACAGTGGTAAACAAAAAAAAAAAAAAAAAGAAATTAGACATACTTTTCCGTGAAATCTTACCAACTTTTGATATTTAATCTCATTTGTAGGAAATTTGCAGTGCTGCAGTACCTGAAAATAATGAGGTTTCTGAAGAAAGGCAAATAAGTAGTTTAATCTACTACAACTACAGTTTTCCCATCGAAAAAAAAAAATTAATTTTTACTGCTCAATTCATGTTTCCACTCATTCGTGACAACTGACTGCTATCCGTAACTGCTCAGTACTTTTCTTCTGTAAATCATGATTTCCACGGAGATCATTCGTTAGAGAAACCTTGAAAACAGGAGTACTTTTCAAATCAAGATAATAGAAATGCTTGAACTATTATGATGGATTAAAGCTGCTTTCTCGCCGGAAATCTAACCCTTATGACATCCTGGAAATAAAAGTTAACAAAGCATAGGCCACCAAACATCAGACTGGGCTAACAAGAAAACCAGCTTGTCATCGAAGGACGGGATAAGTTGATTCCGACAACTTCAAAATCAATGCCTGTGTCCTGGAATTTCGCCAAAGTCTAAAAAACGGTTCTACTGTTATAAATTACCTGCAAGGAGTGCGGGATGTTAATGGGATCGTTATGTCTGAAAGCGCAATTCTTGCCGAAGATGGATGGTGCTGCTGGTTTTCTGGGATGACAGCAGATTAGCTGTCTGGGGAATTGCACCATGCTTTTCACTGATCATCCAATCATTACGAAGAGCGCCAGAATTTGAAAAACGGAGAAGAGCAGTGCAGCTGTCTTAATACTTAAATTTGGATGTCAAGACAGGTTTAAAAGCTTTTTCAAAACGCTGAAGAAAAGATCTCGAAAACTGTTCAAGTGTCATTTCAGGTAACTGTTGATTATAAAGGCCACAATTCTAGAAAAAAAATTATTGAAAAAAGTTTAATCAAACAATGTGAAAAAAGGATTTTGTTGCTTTTCTGATTGCGAAAGATTCTTGAAACGGGCCA